TCTCCATCAATTTTGAAAGATAGTTTTGCAGGGTACATCAATCTGGGTTGGAGGCTGTTTTCCTTTAGGGCTTGAAATACAACGCTCCAAGCTCTTCTTGCCTTGAGGGTTTTCATTGAGAAGTCTGCTGTGATTCTGATAGGCTTTCCTTTGTATGTGGTTTGTTTCTTTTCTCTAATTGCTTGTAGAACTTTGTTCTTCTTTTGGGTTTCTGGAACCTTAACTATTATATGCCTCTGTGTAGATTTTTTTTTGATCACGGCTACTTGGAGTCCTATATGCCTCATGTATCTGTATGTCAAGTTCTTTTCCCCTCCTGGGGAAGTTTTATGCCATCATTTCTGTGAACAGTTTTTTTATGTCATCTGAACACTCTCCTGTTTCTTCATTGACTCCAGTCAGTCTTATGTTATTCTTCTTTGCATCGTCTAGCAGCTGATGGATTGATTTCTCATGATCCCTTACAATTTTAAAGATATTTTTCTTTTCCTGGTCACTAATAGCAATCTTATCTTTCATATCTGAAATTCTGTCCTCACATTGGCTCATTCTGTTGCATAGACTTTCAATGGAGTTTTTAATCTCCTGGAAATCTGTTTGCATCTGTTTTATGGATTCCATTTGTTTACTGTGTTGGGATTCCATCACGTTCCTCAGCTCCTCTATTTTTTTATCTGTGTCCTCTCTAGATTTATTAATCATGTCTTCCATTATGGGTACAATCTCTGCTGTTATCTGAGAAATTATTTCTGATTTCATTTTTTCCAGATCCTCTTTTGTTGCCAGTTGAGGAAGTCCAGGTGGTTGAGTATCAGATTGTTCCATTTTATTTCTCTTTGAGGTTGCTTTAGGTGATCTGGAAGTCTGGTTTTGGAACTTGTTTACGTGTCTTCTCATTTCACCGGAGTGGGGGTGGGGTGGGGGGTGGTTGCTGCTGATGCCCACGCGGCTCACCTCCTCTCTGCTGGTGGGGATGGTATGGCGGCCTGGAAGCCTCCTCCTGTTCGCTTGGAGTGGCTCACCTCCTCTGTCTGAAGTTACTATTCTTCTAAGCCAAACATTACAACCCATTTTCTAAGGATTGCTTTACTATCTTCCCCAAGCCCATCAACCCACACTATTGGGCCAATATTTTCAGTATTTATCTAACAAGCCAACTACTTTCGTAAATTAATATTTATTTTCAATTTTTAAAAATCAAGGACATTAAAAAATTTATTTATTTATTTTTGAAGCAAAATATTTATTGGTACATTTTAAATATACATAATGATAAAAATCTATCATGAGGAATTTATACCTGTACATGACATATCTAGCTGCTTCTTTTATTTTACAGCTGCCTTCTCACATTGCCTGCTGTTGTACAAAATGGTATATTCCCTGCAGAGGGCAGTGTGGCAACAGTTATCAAAATCACAGCCTTTGCACTTTTGGGAATTTACAATATACTTGTACATAAACAAAATTACAAAAATATTCATTCCAGAAAAGTATTGAAAACCACCAAGTATCCATCATTATGGGACTGGTTAAATAAACTATGATACATCCACACAGTGGAATACAGAATTTGGAAGATAAATTGTAAGGCGAAACATTCAAAATGTAGAGTGGTATTGATGGTATACTACCTCTTCTATGAAAAGGGAGGAAATGAAAACACGTAATTATAGTTGCATTAAAATTACATAAAAGAATATATAGAATAAGTGATTACTTACAAGGAACAGAGTAGAGATGTACACTGGAACAGATGAGAATAGAGTTGATAGGAAACTATCTCATTGGGTATCTTTCTTTTTCTCTTTTTGGTACTGAGGATTGAGCCCAGGGCCTTCACACTGAGTTACATCCCAAGACCTTTCTGGTTTTGTTTTTTTTTTTGGTACCGGGGATCGAACTTGGGTCCTTGCACTTGGGTCTGACTAATTTGCCCAAGCTGGGCTCAAATTTGGAATCCTCCTGCCTTAACCTCCTGGAGGATTGCAGGTGTGCACCACCATGCCCAGCCCCCTGTATATCTTTTATCTTATTTTGATTTCTAATCATGTCAATGTATTACTCTGCAAGTAAAAATATTTTTCTTAGTTAAAACGTGTAACTGAAAACCATAATATCCAAATTATGTGACTTACTATTATATTAGCTGAAATAAATTTGATGGGTTTTGTTTGTTTGCTTGTTTTTACCTATCCCATGAAAGTATCTCTGGTGAATAACTTAGCATTTTTGAAGGGCTGAAATAGAGTTCTTGAATTCTAAGAATGGCAAGCCTTCTTCTACAACAATCTGTGGAGAATTCTTAGAGCATTTAGACAAACTTTGGTATCATTTCCTGCCGGGGACATATAACACTTTTTAAAACTTTGACAATTCAAATTTCAAAGATCGTTTAAATATAAATAGTAATAATGTGAATTATAATGTTTTGGCATCGGGACTGAAATACAAGGCTTCGAGCATGCAATAGCATTTGAGGTCAGTACTCAACCACTGAGCCACAACCTCAGCTGAAGAAACTATATTTTTTATCTTAAGAAATGGTAACATTTTGTACCTGGTCAAAAAATTATGACCTTAGAGCTTCCTTATAGGTTATCCAATGGGTATTTCTGTCTTCAAGTTGAACCAACTATGAACTATCTGCTTTAGTGAAGATGGTCACTTTTCGTCACTTTTCAGTCTAAAAGTTGGTAAAGAGAAATCCATAGTTTGTTCATTTTTTTTTCTCTCTTCAGTGTAGCTTGTAAACAGATACCCACCCTCTAAGTTTTGGAAATCTAAAAATAAGTTTTTTTCTGTTTTGTGTTATATTCTGGACAAATAAAAAAATAAACTGAAACTACTAAAAGGAGAGTATGAGCAAAAAATATTTTTAAAAAGAAGAAGTGAATCAATTCAGTGAAAATGAGTTGACATGAAATAGAATTGTCAAATTTGGGGAGAATGATCAAATCCAGCAAATTTTTCCATTTTCAATTTATTGGAAACACCATAAATTTTCTTATTTTCCCCCTCTTGAGAAGATAGAATTTCTTCTCATTTAACTGATAATATTTTAAACATTTCAGAAAAGTCCAAGGATTGGGATTGTGACATTCCTGACTACAGGCTACTCATTTATTAATCGTCCTATTCTAGCATATAGTAGGTGCTTAAATTGTTCTTGAAAGCACAGATGACATTATCCCCTAGCAATGGTAAATTTTTATTTATTATGCACTTTTGGTTTCTTAAATTCAGTGCATTCTATGATTTATGCTTTATTATTATTAATAGAAATAGTAGTACTGGAGAATTAACCCAGGGAGTGATTTTACAACCCCAACCATTTCTCCCCCGCCCAACCATTTCTATTTTATTTTAAGCCATTGTCTCCCCAAGTTGCTCATGCTGGTCTCGAACTTGCAATCTTCCTGTCTCAGCCTCCTGAATAGCTAGGATTATAGGCATGCATAACCATGCCCAGCAATGATCAATTTTTAAAGTTTAAAATATTTGAAAATGTAAGGTGCTCAACTATCATAATTATCTAATTTTGTATTAGCCAAGACTATCCATTGACTGTACAGTACAACATAAGTTATTCCTTATATGCCCAATTATGTGGTCAGATATATGCTTCTATTTACTATGAATTTATACTGGGTAGTACATTTTCACCATCTTTTCACAAATCTTGTGCTGTTATAAGAATGCGAATCTAATAAAGTAATAAATTTTTTAGATTCACAGCAGCATAAATAAAATTCTTAGATTCACAAGAAGAATAAAAGATGTGAATACCTATGTATGTTCTTCTACGTTGGAAGTTATTAGAGGATTTTATGAGGCTGATTTTCCACTGGAAATGTATCTAATATAGTGAGAGGAGGGGAAGATGCCGTCTAAAACATTTTGGTTATTTCAGATTCATATGCATGGGAATAATTACAAACAAAGCTTACTTCAGCATTTCCCTGATATTCTTCCATTGGAGTATGGCGGTGAAGAATTCTCCATGGAGGACATCTGTCAGGAGTGGATAAATTTTATAATGAAGTCTGAAGATTATCTCAGCAGCATTTCTGGGACCATTCAATGAGAAGTTATTTCATCCAAATGGTTTCCTAATTAAAAGTACATAAGTGAGATCCTATGTGAATGAAAGAAAAAGAGCAAATATTTTGAATTAATTATTGCTTGTATGATCTTTAAAAACATAAAAACCTGTAACAGGAGCAATATGGATGTTTAGAAAGCTTTTGAACCTTTTTTTCACTTCTGAAGTACTTAAATGTTAATATACTTGAATAGCGTAGAAGGGATTCCCTATTTTTGAACTTGAAGAAATAACATAGAAAGTGATTTCTGAAGTGGCTATTTATGTGCATCTTTGTGTGTTTCTATAAGATTTCATTTTAAACAAGTTTTCTGATTACATTTGTTTAGTCACAGATTTATAAAATCAACTTAAAGAAATACTGCACAAATCAATTGAATATAAAATACTATTAACACTTATTTTTTGTGGGTGTCAGATTAGATTACAATTCAGGCTAAAATCTGAATACAGCTTTACAATTACTTCTGTGGGCTAGCAGGATAGTTCATCTCAGGGAAATTGTATTCTAGCACATTTGCACAATAGAAACTTTTGATTGGAGAGTCTATATGCCATACTATTGTATATAGATCTCTATAAAGGTACAGTTGATAATAACTGATTAAAATATAATTAAGAAAATATTTCAGACACAGTTCATAGCTTCTCAATGCTGTTTTGCATTTTTTAATAAATCAAGAATGTGATTTTGACTTGTTTACGTTAATTCTTATGACACATTACATGGAGATTTAGAGGTAATATTTAGCTGTCTTATACATAGAATTTTTGGTTGAATAACACAACTGTATAAAAGAAATGTTTACATTTCTTAAATCATTGCCAATTACACTTGGTATTTTTCAGTTTACATATAAAATAATATGAGTTTTACTCTTATATCAGAATATTCTGAGTCCCACAATTTTTATTTACTTTTTAAAAAAGTGGTCAGGATGTGCTCTTTGTTGTGTAGTTTGTATAAAAGAATATTTCATTTACCAAGAAAGATATATCATCCCTTATAGTCAATATATCTTTCAATTTATAATATAATTTTTATACTTAGTATTTTATAATTGATTTTATTTTAAACTTGAAAATGAAAGAATATGGAGTATGAAATTTGTTGAATCTGTTCAGCCTGTTAGGTTTCAATATTAATCATGCAATAGTATCCTTGTGCAAAAATACTTTTCTGTGTGCAAGAGTATTTTTCTTTATAAGAAAATTAGTCTAATCAGGTGAGATGATACTTAAAGATTCTTTGAACTCATGTCTAAGATGAAACAGAGTAATTGTGGATGTTCTTTAGAGAATATGTTTGATTTTGACATAGCATTGAGAAGCTAACTTGACGTTATACCTTTTGTAACAAAACTAGATCCTCCCTGTTTTTTAAAGGAATTTTTAAAAACTTCTTTATAAAATCATATAACTTAAAATTATTTAATTAAAAAAATCATACAATTTAAAATTGTATAATTAAAATCATAACAGAAAAATCACTTAAAAGGATAAGCAGTAATAACAAAACACCTCTGCTTTGTCCAACATTTATTCTTAGAAGGATATTTCTATCACATATTCTACTTCATTTACATTTGGCTACTTAAAACAGTTTGTTATGATTGTGTAAAGGAAAGATTAGTACATGAATAAATAACAACATTTTAAAACGTCTTTTAAATTGTTTAATTAGTGATGTGTTTAAGAGCAAATGAAATTAAAATAAGTTGATCAGTGTAGGCACATTTTATGATGGATCTTTGGAATTTTATAAATCAAAGCAATTCTGTGAAGAACATTATAAGCACAATGTGAAATGAACAAGTAATTTTGTGAAATATCAAGGTAAAAAAACTAATTGTCTACATTACATTACTGTGATTGTACTAGAAGTGCCTTTTGAAAGGTTTACTCCATATGTGCTCATTATGTTACTGAACTGAATAACTTATTTAATATTGTTTAAAAAATTAAACATCTTTCACTTAAACAATGTGCAAGGCTTTTTGTTGAAAAATATGAATATGAGCCATTCTTTTTCAAAAATTGTTTTTTCTTTCAGAAAAGACTACTACCTCTAGTTTTCCATTACACAAATGTCAGTTTGTGTGTGTGTATATGTGTGTGTGTGTGTGTGTATGCGCACGCACACGCGTGGATGTGTGCATGCTGGGGATCAAACCTAGGGTCTCACACATGCCAGGAAAGTGCTCTGCCAATTGAGCTACATTCCTAGTTTTAATGGAAGACTGATTTGATTTTATCAAACTAGATTTTTCTCACAGGAAGTACTAAAGTTCTATTGGAAATACTATCTTTGTCTAAATATCATGCAAAATAAGCCAAAAAAAATCAGGTCATAAATAAAAGAGGCACAAATTTAGTCAGCTGGTAACATATTGTCTGAAACAGTCCTTCCAGGCCCTATGTGTTGGATTTTACCATACTTATATACTCTGGGAGGAGCTGTAACAAAGTTGGAACTAGAAATGAAGGCAATAAAATTATGATTGGCAGCAATATATTCCCATTAATTTTCTGTTTAGCAAGGATATACACCCGTCCTCCTCCACCCCCATACTTAGAACTTGACTGACTGCTCTTTAATCTATCTATCCAAGTCAATCATGTTAATCTATCTAATATATCTCCTTTTGATATCACTGTGCATTGAATTATGTACTATATTCAATAGAAAAATAACCAGATGCTACCTAAAAGAGAGAAAAAATATACAAAAGAGCTATATTAAATGAAGTATATTGTAAAGATCTTTTTTGTTTGTTTGTTTTTGGGTTTTTTTGTTTGATGACATACCTGTTCAATGACTGCCCCTCGGACTTAGGCCCCTTCTGTCTTTTCTACAGTTCTGTGCATCTTGTTCACAGAGCCTCAAGGTCTTCTCTTTTTTTTGGTACCAGATATTGAACTCAAGTCCTTGCGCTTGCAAGGCAGGCGGCAGAATCAGGGCCAAATCCCCGGCCCTCTCAATGTCTTCTTTGTGACAGTATGCCTTGTTGATATAGTGCTGTAACTTTTACTGATTGTACTGTATGGTATAATACTGTAGGTTTAGAGACCAATTCATTTCTGACTAGTCGCAGGAATGGAACTCAGTCGTTAAATGTGGAGTGTCTGTAAAAGGTATACAGATGCAAAGAAGAAATAAAACTTTTGCAGATGATATGTCTATGTTTAAAATCCCGAGGATTCTCTAATAACAACGACAAAAAAATGGCTAGAAATAGTAACTTCATTAAAGTTGGAGGATACCAAAAGGTGCTTATGCTGTACATTATAAAACAGTAATGGAATAAATCAAAGAATACTTAAATGTAAAGATGTACCATGTTCATGAATTGGAAGACTCATCACAGAAAGGAAACCAATTCTCAACAAACTGATATACAGATTTAACGGAACATCTGAGTCAGATTTCATTATGAGAGCACAAAACCTAAACCTAGTGTATATGGCAAATGGAAAAAATATGCGTGTTAATCATTTTTAAATACAAATAAAAAAGAGCCACTTGACTCAATCTTAACATTGACTGTATAGCTATAGCAATCAAGTAAACCAACAGGTGGGGATCAAGAAAAATTCTGACTGGTGTTTAAAACCACCTAAGACTCTTAATTTTTAAAATCAAAGACTTAAACAGTCTTAAGTGGTACCCAAAAAAGTGCCCATTCACTTATATTTTCTGGGGCTGCAGGTGTAGCTCAGTGGTATAGCACATGCTTAACATCCTCATGATCTTGGATTCAATTTCCCAACATCACATACATCCACCTGTTTTGCCTTCTCTCTTTAAATATAAAAGGATTTCATTATTCAACTCTTCATATTTCTCATAAAAACCTATGGTGCACAAAAGCAACAAGGTAGAACAAAGAAGATATTCAGCACATTTCTACACTTGCTCTCAACATTCTAACTCTTTTATCACTGACAGCAATGAACATATACACAATACAAACAAAGGGTCAAGGTCTGTTACCTCTTAAACCAACCATCCCCACCCGAATAAGAATGAACAAGTGCCACAGACTTTATAGGGTAGTGTGAAAGAAGCACTGCTTGCATTTCATTATCTCTTCTGTTACTTCCTTTTAATAAAAATTCCTGAGATAACACTGCACTGTAAACTGTGGAGGAAAATGTAGCTAAAGATTTTCCTCAGTGCAAAATAACCACTGGGTCTCTCTCCTGGATGAAATCTCAGATAAAGCATAATGTTCTAAGTTGGATCCATTTCTAGCATGAGTGTTCAGATGGCAACAACACTCTACAAAGGGTTTCCTCATAGTGAAGACAACTGGGGGGTTTCTCTTTGGTATGAATGGTCAGATGCCATGTAAGATGTTTCCTCCCGTAAAAGATTTTCTTCACTGGTTACATTCAATAAGTCATTTCCCAGTAGAAGTTCTTGGATGTTGACAGAGGCTTGTGCCCTTGTGAAAGGCCTTCCCTCCTCTCCAGCACTGGCTGGGTTTCTCTCCGTGTGCATCCTTTGATGATGTGTGAGTGAGGAGCTTCGGCTGAAGGCCTTTCCGCATTCATTGCATTCATAGGGCTTCTCTCCTGTGTGGATGATGGAGTGGCGGATGAGATTTGTGCTCCAGCAAAAGGTCTTCCCACACTCGATACGTTCATAGGGCTTCTCGCCACTGTGAATTCTCTGGTGCCTGGTGAGGCCTGACCTGCGGATGAAGGCCTTGCCGCAGTCCGTGCACTCGTAGGGCTTCTCTCCCGTGTGGATGCTGAAGTGGCGGATGAGGTCTGCCCGGTTGCTGAAGGCTTTCCCACACTCTTTGCACTCGAAGGGCTTTTCTCCAGTGTGGGCCCTTCTGTGAAAGATGAAGGTGGAGCAGTGGGTGAAGGCCTTCCCGCCCTCGCCACACACATAGGGCTTCTCCCCAGTGTGGATGCGCTGGTGCCTCTTGAGGTAGGCCCTGTGGCTGAAGGCCTTGCCGCACTCCGGGCACTCGAAGGGCTTCTCCCCGGTGTGGATGACGTAGTGGTGGACGAGGGCCACGCTCTCACAAAATGCTTTCCCACACTCGCTGCACTCGTAGGGCTTCTCACCCGTGTGGGTCTGCTGGTGCCACCTGAGGTACGACCTGTGCTTGAGGACCTTCCCACACTCGAAGCACTCGCAGGGGTTCTCTCCACTGTGGATGATGTAGTGCCGAATGAACCCTGGCCTATCTCGAAAGGCTTTGCCGCACTCTTTGCACACAAAAGGCTTCTCTCCAGTGTGGCTCCTGTTAGGCAGGACAAATGTGGAGCGGTGGGTGAAGGCCTTTCCATACTCGCTGCATTTATAAGGCTTCTCTCCACTGTGGATGCGCTGGTGCTGCCTAAGGTGTGACTTGCGGCTGAAGGCCTTGCCACACTCCATGCACTTATACGGCTTCTCCCCGGTGTGGACCACCTGGTGCTGAAGGAGGTGGGTGCTCTTGCTGAAGGTCTTCCTGCACTCCGTGCACTCGTAGGGCTTCACGCCAGAGTGGATCCTCCCGTGTCGAGCAAGAAGGCGTTTCTTGTTAAACACCTTCCCGCACTCGCCACACCGGAAGATGTTTTCCTCTTCCTCCCTGGTCACGGCATCTCCCATGGGCTGTGTGCTGCACAGGGTGGCACATCTCCTGCATCTCCTGCAGGAACCTGCTCCTGCACAGCCCTCAGACGCACTCTGTCTTCGGTCCCTAAGCCACCAGGGCCGGCGCTCGCGCTCCTGGGAAGCTTCTCCCTCGGGGCTTGACCCCCTGCTCTCCAATGTCCTTCCTGCCTGTCTGCCGGGCAGCCCTGACACGGAGCTGGCATCCATGGGGAGCCCCAGGAGGCTCCATGAGACAAATGCCCCTGAAGCCCGGCTCCCTCACACAAGGCTGGCTCAGACATGGTGGGTTCTGTGGCTTTGGTTTTTCTACTGTCATCTGGCCATGTGCTTTGGGCACAGCCCAGCCTCACTGTCCACGGCTGCTGCCCGTGCTCCAGCTGCTGGATCAGCTCAGGTGTGGGAACAGGACACCCCAGTGAGGCCAGGAGCCCACAGTTCTCCAGCATCACCTCCTGGTACAAGGTCCTCTGAGCTAGGTGCAGCTGCCCCCACTCCTCCTGGGTGAAGGTCACGGCCACATCCTCGAAGGTCACAGGCACCTTGCCAAGCTTTCTTCAGGTATCTCTAGAACAGCTTCCCAGCCACTAGCTGTAAAAACAAAGGCTTAAGGGCTGGGACTGTAGCTCAATGGCAGGGTGCATGCCTAGCAAGCACAAGGTCTAGGGTTCAATCCCTGGGCCGGGTCCACCAGTGCCTCCACCACCGCGGACAGCGAGGACCGAGGGACCGGCGACTCCCGCAGGCTCCCTGGCCCCGGCGGGTGACCTTGGCGGGCAGACGCCTCAAGCTCACCGCTCGGCCTGGCACGCAGAGGTGCGGCTTGGCCTGCTTCGTGCTTCTCTCAGAAAAGCGCTCCTGGACTAGACCACAGGACACCGCTACACTTCTATTGTAAAGATCTTTATAATATTTCCAATAAAGTGCTTTGGGAAAGTGGATGAATCTTAAGACCATAATGTTTGTTTTTTGGTACCGGGCATTGAACTCGGGACCTCGCTCTTGCGAAGCAACCGCTGGAACCATAATGTTAAGTAAAATAAATCAGACACAAAAGCTTAAATATTGCATAGTTTTCCTTATATGAGAACCCAAAGTAGAAGTGAAGAGGAAAATAGAAGACATAATAGAAAATGGGGAGATAGATCTTTTGGAAATGGGAAGGGAACCAAGAGGTGAAGGGAGGGGGGAGGGAGGAGAACAAAGATGTGTCAAGTACTGTAAAAGCTTCCCATGAGGAACGTGATCATTGTATACTGCAAACATATACCACTAAAAAATAAAAATTGGAAAAAAATAAACTGCTCTGCGAGTTGAACAGAAGGAAAGATAATTTTCACCCAGAGTGATTGAGGATGCATCTT